CAATTACATTATTTCATCAAAGGGCCTATATATATAGTACAGAAATGTTATTTATGGATAAGTTGATGAGTTTTCTTGATGATGATACCCTGTTCTGATTAGGTCTGTTATACGATGGACGAAAGCTTAGCAATTATTCACTGGAACCCAAAGCAATTGCCTCGGAAACAGCGTCAACAAGAATATTTCATTATAGCTAATCAAACGATGAATCCACTGTCGTCTTCTTGCAGGTTCGAACTTTAAATCGCTCCACCAAACACTTTCACTTGCAATGGAAGTAAGCTCATTTATTTGTATGACGACCTAGTCCACTTTCTGCGTTGGAGTTTTATATGAATCAAAGTTGTATTTGCTGTAGCAATCGATATAATTATTTATTTTCGTTTTCATAAGCGCCTTTTTGAGATCAAGATGAATATATCTTGTATGTACGATCTAGTGGTAGTATAGAAATTCTACTCATGTACAAAATAAGTAGTTTAGTCTATTGCTATAGCAATCCTATGCTAAAAGAAGAAATGAAAGAGCTTTATGCACCAGAAAGCTCATTTATTTTTATGACGTCCTAGTCCACTTTCTGCGTTGGAGTTTTATATAAATCAAAGTTGTATTTGCTGTAGCAATCGATATTATTATTTATTTTCGTTTTTCATAAGCGCCTTTTTGAGTCCAAGATGAATATATCTTGTATGTATGATCTGGTGGTAGTCTTGAAAGTCTACTCATGTACAAAATAAGTAGTGTAGTCTATTGCTATAGCAATCCTATGCTAAAAAAAGAAATGAAAGAGCCTTATGCACCAGTCAGCTCATTTATTTTTATGACGTCCTAGTCCACTTTCTGCGTTGTAGTTTTATATGAATCAAAGTTGTATTTGCTGTAGCAATCGATATTATTATTTATTTTCGTTTTTCATAAGCATGTTTTTGAGTCCAAGATGAATATATCTCGTATGTATGATCTAGTGGTAGTATAGAAAGTCTACTCATATACAAAATAAGTAGTGTAGTCTATTGCTAAAGCAATCTTATGCTAAAAGAAGAAATAAAAGAGCTTTATGCACCAGTAAGCTCATTTATTTTTATGACGTCCTAGTCCACTTTCTGCGTTGGAGTTTTATACGAATCAAAGTTGTATTTGCTGTGGCGATCGATATTATTATTTATTTTCGTTTTTCATAAGCATGTTTTTGAGACCAAGATGAATATATCTCGTATGTATGATCTAGTGGTAGTATAGAAAGTCTACTTATATACAAAATAAGTAGTGTAGTCTATTGCTATAGCAATCCAGTTTGTTTTTTGATATATTCGTCAGTGTTATACGCCATTTTGCCGTCTTTCTTTAAGGATAATGACGACACCTTGTCGATGAATACAGTCAGCCAGGATGTGCCCATCAGCCTGAAGCGGTCACTGCCCTCGATGGCGTACAACGGCGACTTCGGACGGGCCTGGTATCCAGGCGGAGGGTTGCCACCGCTGCCTCCACTGCCGGTTGACAATACTTTGGCCGGCCGGCCTCTTGAGTTGGGCAGACCGCGTCACGAGCCTCTGGCAGATCGGCCCGGCCTCTTCAACGATGATCCTCGATCAGGCCTGCATCAGAGCGCTCCGGTTCCGGTCGGCTATACCGACATCAAGTCAGCCTAGTCGAGCTCGTCGTGTGAAACAGCAAATGGCGGGTGGAAGTTGCGAATAAAATGGGCAATGCGACGTCTTTGAAGTGATGCTGACACGATTCACTGTCGACTTGTTGGCCGTCGACAGGAATCATTTCACCTTCCTGTCCCTTCATCAGTCGGCATCGAAGCCAGATCGTTCGCTCGGATCAGCTCTAAACGAAGCAGCCTCAAAGTGACTTGGGCCGAGCTGTTCTTCCTTTTGCCAATCTTCACTCGTCTCTACTCATCACTTTTCCCACTCGCCTAAACGTCGGTTGCTATGCATTCGATTTGATGACTGTAATACTATCTCGTAAACACTGCCACAGCTTACTTTACACGATCTGACAACTGTCCATGCTTATTTTACCCTGCACTCTTGACGCCTCACAGATTCACCATTTTATTTTCATATCTCTCCTTCAACTTTGCAAGAGGACTACCAGTGACTGCATAGTGCCTGTTACGTAGTCAACATAGGAACAATGTTTCAACCAAAAATAACCACAATTCCTATTATCAGCTTTTTTCGCAGAAGCGCAACTTTACAGTTGTTCAGAATAAATATTTATCATTTACTTGCATTATTGGTTGACGCAAGAAAACTTGAAATGATGAAATCACATGAAAGTATCTACGCCACTTTCTGCGTAGTCGACTTTGCGATTAAGAAGGGATTCTTCGATATTTTCATAATCGGTCTGCAAATGAGGCATGCTTT